TTAGCAAACGCAGAAAACTGATCGACATGTAAACAATGAATAAATGATAGAAGCGATGTGCTTTAATCTGAAATGTGTTTTAAGAGGTATTTGTAATCTGGAGAACCTAAATTACATCGGATGGAAATATAAGCAATACTACCTAAAATTTAAAATCGTTTAGATAAGCGTTTAAGTGGTATTGCATATTAATGAGACTTGCTGCTTAATTCAAATTTTCGCTCACCGAACATGAACATAAATGACTTTCATTTGCATTACGTGAAGGTGAAGACAGGAAACACTATCAGTTACTATATTATTAATTCATTAATTATTTTACGTGGTTATTTTGAAAAGGAAAGATGATTACATACTATTTAATCACTCATAGTTTTTGATTCGCTTCGATTTTCGTCAACTTGTCTTTTGCGACGTCGTTTAGTTTTGCGATGTCGTTTAGTTTTGTGACTTTGTTTGCTATTGTGAGATTTCGGTCGCAGAATTAGCAAACTCAAGAGAATTATCCAGTTGATCCAGATTAATACAATTATCAGGTAAAGCACATACTTGTATGGTATTTGTAATCCATAAAAATTGCTAAAATTAGATTGCATTTGGATTTCCAATAATATTTTAGATTACAATAAACTTATTTTTTTTAAAGTTCTTTATGTTAGCTATTAATTTTTGCTCATAAAATTATATTTATATAAAATATATAGATTTTTGATCTGAATATCTGATCAGCTCTTTTTTTTTGTGCTAAAAAATTTTCAGTTGTGCCATTTTCAGTCAGATTTTATAGCTGAAAATCTCAGCACCAATTTTTTAAAAGAATAATTTGTTGATTCCCTTTTTTTGTCAATAATTATGTGCAAAGTCAATGTTGGAAACTGTGATTGAAAGAGAAAAATTTTATTGCTTGCTTTTCTTCAAAATTAAATGTGATCTTTATTACTCATTACTTTTAGCAACACATTCTTACAATATTTTCGATTCACGTTTTAGCGTTTCGTTCACTGCAAATCTCGATTTATTATGTGAAACAATCTAAAAAAATATTGGGTATAAATAGTACTAAATTTTGATTTGAAAAAGTAAAAAAAGAGACTTTAATATTTAAAAGTTCAAAGCACACGTTTGATTTACCGAAATTGATAAAAACATTGCAAGTTTTTCAATGAGCTGAAAAATTGACTAAGCAAGCATTTCCTATTTTCCTTCACATAATGGTTAGGTCTTACAGAATTTAAACTAACGGTTGCAATTCTTGTAGTAGCTGTAGCGATTACTTCCATATTTATTGAAGGAGTTTTATCAGTTTTTCTTCTACTTATACGTGGATGACGGTACAAATTTAGTGTGTCTTGAACTGAATCATCTAGAAAATGATTTGCTGTGTTATTATTCAATTTTTCAATTTTGGGCTTATAATTTAATATAAGACTTGAGTGGAGTTTCTGACTGCGTTGAACTTTTTTGACCTAGCAGCTTTATTAATTGATTTCCATTTATTATTGATGAAGCTATACAAACTGGTTTTTTGAAGAGAGATAAGTCATTCTGTACGCTTCTTGTCAATTTAATGGAAAAAAAGATTCTGAAAGTAAGGATTTATGAAGCAGAAGCAAAGTGCAGGAAAAGTAATGGACATACCCGGTTCGATTAATTTAGTGGAAATTGTCTGCAATCCCTTTCCCTGCGTATTATTCTTGAAAATTCATTATATCGTTTTACAGATGGAAGTAGCAAACTTTCAGATGTTATTGTAATTGAATTTAGCGATAATTCTACTGAATGTAGCACTCCGGTGCCTTGTCTGCTTGTCAAATTAATCTGTTACTGATTGAATTTATTTGAGAAAATTACCTGTTGCCGGTTTGATCCTTGCAGGTTTTTAGGTTTTGCGTTTGAAACGAATGATTCATTTAGATTCGTTTCTAAGCGAGAATGTTTTGTGTCATTGTGACCAGAGGTTGCATTAGTATTTTCATGGATCGCATCGTTTCTGACTATGCCTTCAAGTACAAAATTATATATTCAGGAAGAGACACGCATCAAAAGTTTTTGCAGCTTTGTACTTATGAGATAACTGAAGTGATAAAAATTTTGACTATTTTGTTTGATTATTTTGCATTCAGTCATTTTAGTGTGAATGGATTGTTTACGTGCGAGTTGTGTTACCAAGCTAGCATTTATATCTTAACGTCAAATCACAATTTGCATTTTGATCCCAAGCATAACGTGTTACTCGAAAGATTACTTGCATTAGTTTCGGCAAGAATGGGAGTTACTTTAAGGATCCAAAATTGGATGTAAAAGATTATTAATTTCACCATTTTCTGCAATAGAAAGACATAATTACTAAGCATGATGTTGTTGTCACTGATTCTAGATCATTTCCAGAGGCAATTTCATAGTTAGACTGAAAATGCTCAACTTCTTTCATTCGTAAAAAATTACTTTTAATTAAGTAAACCTACTCTGGTTGTAATATTTGTGAAGAAAAACAGTCCAGATAAGTGGTAAGCACGCAGATAGTTAGTAGACAATAACTTATGGGTGAATTTGCGGTTACTTATATGTCCGTTCCAAGTGTTAAATTTGCATAAGGACATAATGTGACCATCAATATTTTTAATTCATAATTGTAATAATTTGTTGTATTGTGTGCTAAGATGAAATTAGTCTTAAAATTAAGTTTACCGGATTTGTTATTTTGCAACTACAAAGCGAATGTTAGTCTTAATCATTAACGAGCAATCTGGAAGATTGCAATCTCTATTTTGATTTCAATTAAAATGTCAGTTTACTAAAAATTTAGCGTAATTATTTGCAATATTGATCTCGAGATTAGGGATCGAGATCGTTTCTTCTGCAAGAATTGTCGGTGCTGAGAAAGAATGAGAATAGTGGCAAGTGCTGTTCTCATTCACACTGCTAACGAGAAAATGGGAATACTTCAATAAATTTTGTACATTCTTGTTTGCTAACTTCTTCAGTATTTATCAATATTAGCTTGAAGATATTTTCAATTTTTGGACAAACATATGGTAACAGTTAAAATAATTAATGATTAATTAAGTTACATTGTTAAAACATTGTTAAGAATCGGTCAAATTATAAACGAGATAATTTTGCAATTTAGCATTTAAAAAGGTTGTAGCAAACCTGGGGCGAATTTAAAATTTTCTTGAAAACTTTTCATTTTTATAATAATTTATTAGATATCCTTTTCTGTGCGTAGTGACAAAACTATTTTTCGTTTCTTGCATGTAATTTTATTATTTAAAAACGTACAATAATTGAACGCACAATTATTAGTATTAAATTATGAAAAATTAGTATTACTGACTAATTGGTATTAAATTTTGTTCGGACATAAATTCTTAAATTTTCATTCAGTGTTTGACCTACTCTACCAAATATCCATTTCCCTGACTAAGTCTTAAATGTTATAAGCATTATCAGTTTCTCTTTCTTTAGTCGTTCGAATGCAATAATTTGGTGTTCGTAGTATTTTCAGAGCATACCAATATTTTAAATAAGAAAGGCAAGATCGCAGTGTTGAAGATAGACTGGAATAGTTAATTTTTGTGTAGCAATGAAAATTTCATTTTCTTAATTGATTCTTTCACAATATTGTGCATTGAAGAAGCGATAACTGTAATTTGACTTGTTGATGAGAGTTAAGTTAACATACTGTTTATGTAGAGGAAGCGATTGTGTTACTGGGCGTGCGAATGTTTCACCTTTAAGTCTGCGATCAACTCTAATCTTATCTGATGCGTCAAGACGAATTTTTGGCTATTGTTTAAAGTAATAAGTCTTTTTCACATCATTTTTAATTATTGTAGTTCGACTCTTATATAACCAGTCTTGAGCAACTTTTTTGTTTCACTTATGGCTGTTTCCGCTTGGAAATTTCTTCATGTGATTGAAAGTTTTCATCATTTCACGTCATTCTTTTTGAAAGTATTTTTAGGCGTTAATCAGCGCAATCCAAATCAGACCAATAACTGTACAAAACGCATTTTTCACGTGCATTTGTGATCTAAACAAATTCCTTCATTTTGGAAGAAAATGCTATATCCAACAACACAAGTTACAGCTGATATTGCATTTAATGAATTTGCAACAAAAGCGTTGTAAAAGACAAGAATTTGTGAATTTCTTTTCAACTTTTGACAAATTAGAATGGAAACGCTTACGAATTCCTTCGTTTCTTTTTCAGTCTGTCATCCATCGAATTTGTTGTTGCAGTCATATTCATTTCTCTGAAAATCATTTTTATTAATGGATGTTGTGATCTACAAAACCATAAAATTAGGTTTAAGTTTCAGTTTTGTAACAAATAGTATAGAATTCATTATATTCAAAAATTAACGTTGTTCGATTAGTTATATTCAAAAATTAACGTTATATTCAAAAATTAACGTTGTTCGATTAGTTATAATTAACTGAAATCTGAAAGCTGTTTCGCTTCGAATACAAAATTTTGTTTCAACAAATTTATGATAAATATGAATTTTCAGTATGTAACAGTCAGGTTTTTTTGTTTCTTTTAAGAAGAACTTTTTCACTAGTGGTATTATAAGTTGAATTTTGGAAAGAAATTATCAATCCAGACAGCATGCCTGATGAAAAAATCGTGATTTTTCGATTAACATCTAGGAATTAATTTTTCAATTTATTTCATTTTGTTAATAATATTGTCCAAATTAGGCAATTAATATTAAAAACTGTGATTGCTTTGAGTATATTTGCTTTCATTAGACTTGAACTTATTTTTCATTGCACAATATTTTTGAAAACACTTTCTTACTCTGTTCCCGATTCATTTTCCAGCGTTTCACTCGAAAATCCGGTTGTTTGATCACTGGTGTCCTGGTTAATGAATATTGAATATGAGCAGTACATGAGTTTTAATTCAAAAAGTCAAGAAGACGTATTCAAATCTTTAAAGTATACGCCGCTTATTAAGTAATGAATAGAAACAGCGCACGTTTCTCACTGGAATGAGCAATTCATTAAGCAGTCAGCTTTTCTACTTGTTTTGCATAGTACATACATACATATCAGAATTTGAACTCACAGTGGTAGCTGCTACCGTTTCAGTATTTGTAGCTGCATTGTTGACATCGATAGTTGCAATGCTAGCAGTGATATTTGCAATGTTAGCAGTAAGTTTTTCAGTGCTAGCATTAAGATTTGTAATGCTAGCATCAAGAGTGGTAGTAACAGCAGAAGTTTTCGTTGAAGTGGTTGTATTGGCTGTAGTGGTTGTATTGGCTGTAGTGGTTGTATTGGCTGTAGTGGTTGTGGTTGCAATGGCTGTAATGGCTGTAGTGGTTGTATTGGTTGGCATAGTTGCAGCGGTTGTCGTAGTTGTGGTGGTTGCAGAAGTGGTTCTTCTTCTATGTTTTCTTCTTCTACTGGCTCTTTTTGTATTAATTTTTCCAGGCATCGTTTCAGCATTGCGTGGATGACGACGCAAGTGCAGTGCGTCTTGAACTGAATTATCTAGAAAATGATTTACTGTGTTATTATTC